ACACCTCGCGTTTGCTCAACAAAAATACGAAGAAAATCACTTGATCAATGCCGAGGTTAATAGAAAGTCGGTCGTGGCAACTACGAGTAGCGTTAAGCAGTACAAGAGGCTGTTGAAATTTCCGGGGGAACATGGGCTGTCAAAATCTGGAAGGACTACGGAACGATGTATTCTTGTAAACCAACATTACACTAGTATAGAAAATTTCCATCGGGAACCTGATGATGCAAGTAAAGCAAAATATGTATATCATCGCGATGGCCGGAAGAGAATAGACCAAATATCAAACACTGGTGAAGATACTATGGAAGAACTGCTCCCAGGAATATGCATTACTACGAAGTCGGGAACTTCAATGTTCCTCAGCGCGATTTTCACCATGCACTTAGATTCCTCTGAACATCAAACGACACGAGTCAACGTGTGGCTTGAAAATGAGTTCACCAATGGCAGCTTTCACTATGCTTCTTGTCTACGCCCTATAATCTTACTTGGATATTTCGATGGCCCGTCTTCACGGGTTGTGCGAGCCCCAGAGTATTTTTCATTCTTTTTTTTTCAGGATTTTGTTGATTTACCCATTGTGATTCCCTGGAATCCTAAGCTAAGTCTAATCAGTCTGTTCCAGGTCGTGAGCACCGCAAGCAATCGCCGTCCTTGTGGATCAGAGTGACATTTGCAATCATGCGACTAGTTTGATACCAGAGCGGTGATGCGTCTTGGTATTGGTTTACTCCTACCCGTTCTTCCTTATGAAAACGCTGGACTCGTTCCCAGCCTGGGAGGCCTTACTGGAAAATTGGAATGCCCTATAAACAGAAAAGAAAATAAAAAATCCGGCATCTTACAATATGGACAAGGAGAAGTGCAACTGGAAGGATAATAAACAAGATTTCATAACTAACGGAAATTGGTATTTTATCCTTTGTTAAATTAGCTTTTGGATATCATTATCGACAACGTCGATGAGGAATGGCACTGCAGCATCTTAGCTGAAACTACACAGGTTGAGAATAGCATCGGCAATGTATGCTGGAACTTCGCCGTTCACAAGACCAAGATGGCGTCGTGACGGAAAAACTCATCGTTCCTCTTCTCGGCGATAAATCCATTTTGTGAATGACTCCACTCCACAAAAGCGGTCATCAGATCCATGGGAGGATGCCTGCTTTACGACTTATCACGAAACAACCATCTTATCAATGCGAATGCCAGTGATTCTGCATTTATGCCATTATGCACATTCCATGACCAGTGGTAGGCTCCGTCAAAAAAAAGAAAGAAGGAAAAGAGAACCAAGAAGTAGTTCGCGTGGAGAGAGTACGCTATAGACACGAACCTATCGACATTGTTTCCATCGTCGTCTTCTATTCCAATACTCCGATCATGTATTCACTCTTCCTAATTGGCTCTTCAGCTTCTTCATAACGAATCTATAGAAGTTCTCGCTTCGGACCTTCGACGAATCATCATGCTACGCATCCATTTGACCTGTTATCATAAGCTCCAACCAAAGTTTACAGTCGTTTCCATGCAAAAGATCAACGAACTGTAAACCAACACCAGGAATCACCACCGTCATAGTGTCAAAATAGTCGCATGCGGCAACTCTTCTGATCCACAACGGCGACGACTGCCTGGGGTGGTGATGATCTGAGGAAGTTAAATAAGTTAAGTATAAGTAATAAATTAAAATTGTGATTATAACTACGGCCTCAGTTTAACTGGGTTCGTTGCCGATTTCGGCCCTCCAAATCAATCCCGCTGACGAGTGATTGCTGATGGCAAAAGATCGATAGAACTAGCTGAGACAGGCGAAACGAAGGACCCGCATGGTGTGATGCTGAACGTGTCAGCTCCCGGAAAGGGTTAGTAGTCCGTTTGTTTCCCACTGCAGCCACCTGCAGTCCGGAGTTTTGTAAATATCTCAGCATCATTGAGAAAGGTTTCGTCTACGTTGAGCTCGGGACTCCAGGGAACCACAATGCCTGAACCAGCAAATCACCGAAGGATAGATATTAGACTGATGCCCGTACAACCAGTGAAGAGGAACCATCCCAGTATCCAAGTATCCTAGGCTAGCGAGTAGTAATTGACGACAACGGTCGTCTTTTGATGGGAATAGAGACGACCTCATAATATAAAATGTGGAATATAAACGACGTGATAAGTTCTCATGTGTTGAAAAAAATGGGCGTCGAGACAGGTTTGTAGAATGCACACTTCACAGACATTTCACAATGTCTTTTCTTTACGGAAGACAAACGTCAATTCACTCAGTTGACGTACCCAACCCCTTTCGTGCTTCTTTTCTAAGATGCTCATATGGAATTTTATGATAAGCGGTCTAAAGTGAACAGCGGCTTCAGATCTCCACCACGGACACTTCCCAGCACTGGTGGAATGCATAGATACTCAATAAATTATGGAATTCTTTCCATACACTGTTTACTAACGACGATGTTATGGTCCTTCTTGCAAATACAATTGTACAAAATCTACAGTACTCTTAATTTATACCAGTGACAATAAAAAGACGTTGAAAGGATTAAAAAAACATAAATGCAAACCTCTCTACAGAAATTACAAATGTCACCTTATATGTCATATGTCAGCTAAACGTAACTCTAGTAAAAACATTCTACCTATCTTAAGTCGACCGATACTATCACAATATAAAAAACTGGACAACAGCTAATATTATCTGGAGCTCATCAGAACTCCTCAGAGAAATCCTATTCATATATAAATTCCTACAAGTATAGTTAGAACAAACGAGGAAGCATGGAACATCACGCGCAATATGATAGCTTGTTAGGTATAAGACAACAGTGCACTAAACCTTCATCATTAACCTAACCTAAGCGGAGAAAGTTCAAGAGATGTTAAAGTCTGAACTGGGAGCAAACAAGGTTGTTCGAACTAAAGGATGAACTATTAGAGAAAAAGATATCTTCACGCTTAGTTTGCATAAGCTATAGAAACTGGCGGTATTGAGCCGCAATTTAAGTGACTGATATCCCGCAAAAACATCGATGGATCAGAAGAATGAGAACAACAAACGTCTCGAATATGTATATATGAAAAGCACCATTCAAGGAAACTAAAAGCAAATAATTGCTCACCTTGTTACTGTAACTACAGTGGACTCGTGTCTAGGGATACCCGGTAATCAAGCTTGAAAACAAACAGTTGATAAGGTAAATTAATGTCATTATTAATGTCAGGTGGCTTCTTGTATCGTCTCCTCCGTCTTCTGTTTTCGCTTTTGCAGGAGCTTATTATTCGACTCGGCGAGGCTTTTTATTTGCATTTTCTCGTTGCCAACACGCATTGATGCTAGTGTTTTCTCCATCTCATCCTTCAAGGAACATCAATGAAAAATGTAAGCAAAGAACTAAAGAAAATTCTGCCTTTAACGCCTAAAGGTCTTTAGAACTTTAGAATATTATAAGCTAGAACCATGAAAATTAGAGAAAGGAAGAAGAATGCAATACATAGCTTCCGTAAAACTATCGTACTTGTCGAAAAGTCTTCGAGGTCATCAAGTAGTAGCACGAATGACGAATCGAATAACAAAGCTTTTTAAGTTTTAAACTATGAACGGACTAATGCATAGGAGTTAACACAACGCGATCCCTTGGACTTAGAACTCCAGATGCGTCCTGCTACTTTCCAATTTCGGAATAACTTCTAACATTGGGTACCAGACAAAGAGTTAGACAAAACATTAATCACGATCCTAACTCCAAACAAGAAAACAGTTAAACATTACACATTATGGAAACGTTCAATCACTTCCCGTCACTTCACCTAATATGCATCTGGTTTTTTTAAAATTCACAACCCGGAAGGCATGATTAAAGCACTTTAAAAAAGAAGTTTGAAACCACGTCAAAAGTCACACAGATAGATACCTGCATTTCACTCCACTGAGCTTTTTGATCAACCAAAACGCTGCTGGTAAAAAGTGGCGTATCAGGAACCTAAAAAAAACCACATTGGGGCCATCGTACCATAAGGATCACGTGTGAAGTTAAGGTCAAACAAGTCTCAGTAAAATCAACAAGAACCTTATGATAGTGTGTTATCCACTTGTGTTGCATAGTCTGCTCAATGGTGATTCTTTCAGCTGCGTCTGTCTTTAGCAACCTTTTGATAAGATCTTTTGCTACAAAAGATAATTTTACAAAAAAAATTCCGTAACATGCTTCACTAATAAGTACGTTTCCAAACTGTTACCCGCTTCCGAGACACAATCCCATTCTGGAGATGGAAAGGTATACTGGCCCGACTTAATCTTTGCTTTCATTCCAGGAGACATCGGCAGCCCGTTCTGAGAGAAGAACGGAGGATATCCGCATAATCTAAGAAACAGAAGTGTATGTATAAGGAGACCAAGAAAAATAAGAGGCTCGCTGGGAAAGATGGATTGCTAACGGAAATACTGCAAAGGACATGACAATGAAAATACTAAAAAAAACATTTTTTTGGCCGATTTGGGCGCCCCAGATCAATCCCGCTGACGGGTGATTGCTGTGGCAAAGATCGATAGAAATAGCTGAGAGACAGGCGAAACAAAGGACCCGCATGGTGTGGTGGTGAACGTGTTACTCCCCGGAAAGGACAATAGGGCGCGTTCGTTTTCCACCATAGACACCTGCGGTCCAGAGTTTTGCAAATATCTCAGCAACGTTGTGGTTATATTTTTTTTGTTCTAAAACGACCCGTCTTTCACATCTACTGTGCGAATCGCAGTACATCTTGTATTAGATTCGTTCCTTGCAACCACCATCCACGAAGGTCTTCCAACTTCTTACGTGTAGCTTAAGTTGCTGCTTGAGAACTTTCCCTTCAACATGAATGCCGTTGAAGGCTGATCAAGTCCATTCTCCCTGAAGTCCTGAGATTGCCCGGCTAGAGCGTTCCCGTTTGGATAGCAGGGATTGAACTTTTGCCAGACAAAACCGACACCAATTTCTGGTAGCAAAAAGATGAGAGGTCTGGTGAGGGGTTCTTGGAGCAAGATCGAGCTAGCACCGAACTCGTGAAGGTACGACTCCAGTATCAAATAGTTTGAGATATAGAAAAAGACAATGTTTGATTTAAATACTTACAATATATACATGACCACGCCTACTGACCAGAGATCGCACGACTTGTCATACTTCTCTGCACGCAAGACCTTGAACACACTTTCAAAATATCGATTATGGGATAAGATGTAAGCAAAGGCATATGATTAAACAATGGAAAATTAGACAAACTAACCTCAGGAGCACAATAATATGGAGTATAACAAGCAGTTGCAAGACTGTGCGGCTCTGACTCGTCTGTTTTCTTTGCAAAGCCAAAATCTGTCAGTTTTAACTGCGCGTTTTCGGTCTCATCCCTGGATGAACATAATGAATTAGCAATCATTGATATATTTTGAAAACTAATTGCAATGCTAACTTTTTATCTACTACCTGCTGTAATTTCTCACAACGAGGTATTATGTGAAATGCAACTACAACGGTTCTGAGATATTTGCAAAACTTGGACCACAGACCAAGTCAAACCACAATTACCCTTTCCAGTGGTTCGTGTATTACACAATGCATCACGGAGACCCTTGCTTTGCGTTTCTCTCAGCTAGTTTTCTATCTAACGCTGCCATCTGCAATAGCCGTCAAGGAGATTGATCTGAGGAGTACAAATCGGCACTGAACCCAGTTGAGATGTGGCTGTAGTCGAAACCACAATGCTAACCTTTTATTTACTGCCCAGTGTAATTTTTCGCTACTGGATAGAAAACTAGCTGACAGAAAGGCAAAGCAAGGGTCTCAGTGGTCTATTGAACCTCCTGAAAGGAAAATCATGTTTCGACTTGGTCTAGGGTACAAGTTTTGCAAATATCTCAGCATCACTGTAGTTGCATTTCGCTAATTACAATGTTTGCCATCCAACCCTGGATGGACATAATAAACTAGCGAACAAAGAAATACTTCCGAAGCTAATCATAATGGAAATGGAAGACCTACTCGTAAAGAAGATTTTCAGGCTTAATGTCACGATGGGCTATGTTCATTTTATGGAGATGGGAAACAGCCGAACATATTTCATACATTATGCTGGCTGCTTCTCTCTCGGTAAATGCTCGATGACCGCGTTCCTGAGAAAAAACAGGTGTAAATATGTGCCTTCGAAACAACTGGCTAAAATGACAGGGTAGTGTATTGTTATAAAGTTAAGAACTTCAAAATTCCTCACCTGAATTCTACTGAAAAGTTCACCACCTTTCATGTTTTCCATGACAACAAGTAGACACTGCACATCATTGTAGGTATTCTCATACACGTCAACAATCTCAACTATATTCGAATGACCACTGGCCATATAATGCAAGTCAACCTTGAACAAAAACTATGGAGAATAAAGAAGTAAGAAAATAAATAGGAAAAATAAATAAAAAAGCAGACAAGAAGCAAACAAAATGAACGAATGCTGAGTGAATTTAATTAAGAGAAACCTCTCTTCTAGCCTTTGGGACATCACGCAGGACTTTGAGGGCAAATTTTTGACCGGTACGGCGATGTTCACATTCCACCACTTTTCCGTTTATACCGACTCCGAGCACCTGCGAAACAACATATCAGCAGTAATTAATGAACTACTGTAAATTCTAAGACAATCACTCCCTTCATTATTAGCGTTAATGCAATTTTAATAGTAAAAACTGTCACATTGGAAGAAATCTGATAAAATAAAAAAGGAATAAAGCTCTCGACGCAGTTCAATCGATAAGGGATACGCCATGGATTCAATTTCGTTAAGCACCATTGGCAGTGTCGTGACTGAATTCCATATTTGGCCTTTACAATGACTCGCAGTGGCCTACCGATGTGTCGAACCAGTGCTGCTATCCTCTCAGACAAGTCTGGTACCAATTTACCGACCTCGAAGCGATGGAGAGCATGGTGGGCGTGGAATGGGGGAAATGATCTTATGTGTATTGCAAGGCGCCCCCGAACATTGCTCTACACGCGCCAGAGACAAAAAAAAGAAGAAAAAAGTGGGAAAATACACTGCACTGGAAGGGCCACGCAGCCGAATTCCTGAGGTTGACCATAGATTTAGGAGAATCTTTGCAAATTAGATTCACAAAAACGAAAGAACACTTTTAGGAACTGCTCTTGTTAAACTCTAGCTTTTAAGAACTTTAACTGAACTATTTAGCTTCGAACTTTTACGAACCTCGCATCAGCTGAACAAAAAGTTTCATTTATGATGGTCATACTACACGAAGTATTTCCCTACCTTTCTACTAATACGATAGTCCTGGGTGACAGGATACGTATGGTACGGCATGTCCGTTGAAGATTTTCTTACTTTATTAGTAGCAAATGGTCGTGACTTCTTCCTTTTGCCTGTCTAACATAGTAGTAATATGAACTTTGAAAACAACAGAAAGTTCAAAGAAATTGTTAATGCACCAGAATAACAGCAATCATTAAGAAACTACAGTTCTATGGAATGTCTAAGAGTAAGTCATGACGCTATAGTGTTGAGTACTGCTGCAGTACTGCACAGATGAAAAAGACGCACAAAACATGCAAAAACGACACTATGCAAACGATCAGTACCTTTACTGATGGTGATTGTTCCTTGTCGTCCGTCCGGTGCGACTCAACATTACCCATCAACAATTAGACTGATGCAAAACAATCGCACGAAAACCACACCACCACCACTCACGACAATCGTGCTTTTCGTGCAAAACACCTACGACAGCAAAGAACTCCAACTTCTGGAAACATTACCATTCCCTAAGGAACATAAGCTAAGATCTAAATAGCGTCATTACGGATAAGAAGGACGAAATCTCAAAAAACCAGAAAACTACTAAGCACGTCGTGAGTCAGCTGCCGATCACACTGGCTGCAGTGGTCCTTTGAGCATGGCCTATAGAGCAGTAAATCGTAATCAGAGCACGAAAGTTGCGGAAGTGTCAGGGCACTGACACCTTTCCGGGTTTTTACGTCAATTTCATGAATAGATATGGTTGTCTTTTCGTTTTAATGACATATTAGGTCATAGCCAATCAATAGGGAAATCGGACCAATTTCTGACCGAGAATCTCATTCTAACTGTAAATTTTGGTTACATGTGGACGACATGGAACGTGAACAATGGAAAGCATCCGTTCTGAACCAAAAATTTGTCCTTTTATAAACCGTCAAAGACCTAATAGTTCACGCCTACTCATTCGTAATACTGCCACCAATGGTTAACAACTTCCTTATGACGAGAGGGTGTTAATGGGTGTGAAACTGCGGTGTACAACGGAGTTTCTCATCTTAGCGTGGTCATTCAAGCTGGCGGAAGAATCCGACGTTTATTTTGATTAGCTTATCTGGGAGTCTTCCCAGTGGTGTACCGCGTTATTCTGGCTGAGATGTGTTCCTGGGTGCAGTGCTACGATGCACAGCGGGAAGACTCATCCCCCAGCAGGTCCTCCAAGCTGAAAAGAAGGCCGGCGTTTCCATGTTCCCATCAGGAAGCCGAGCTAAGAGTATACCAACATCAAGATCCACCGGCGTGCTGGTCCCAAGCTAGTGGTTTGGTGGCAAGTCTCCCTTTCGTAATTCACAAGGGCGGCGACTGTATGTGGTGGTGACGACCTGGGGCAGGCTTTGGCCTCGCTGACCTCAGGTCTCCAGGGAACCACAATGGCTAAACCAGCAAAACTCCCATATAATGGAAGTTATGCTGAGGCCCGCACAACCGGTGAGGATGGGGCATCCAAGTATCTATGAGTAACTCTAAGCTAGGTTTAAACGCTGACCTAGACGGAACGGTAAAACCTAAGAATGGTGGTTATCTCGTGAATTAAGGGAAAGTTATACTATTAAAATTCCACCTAGAAATTAGATGGGAATTGTTCTTCGAAAAGTATGATTCATAAAGACACACCATTCATCATGTCATGATCTTCTCTATCTCTTCATTTCCTTCATCGTCTAGTGCGACCACCTTCAACGACCACCCAATTCACAATGTTTAACTTTCATTCATTGCCTATTGATTTTTCATGAGAGGGTACTGTGTGAAATAGAACCGCAATGATGCCGAGATATTTGCAAAACACGGAACTACAAGTGAGTTTCGATCCCGCGACTACTCTTTCCGGTGTCTCACATGTTGCCCACTAAGCCACCGAGGCCCTCGCTCGATAGCACTTTTAGGGTAAAAAAGAAACTGGATGACAGAAGAGCAAAGCAAAGGTCTCAGTGGTTCAGTGGGCAACACGTCACACCTTGCGGTAATCGTGGGTTCGAAACTCAACTAATGCTTCGGCTTTTCCACACAGGTTTTTCAAGACTTTATTACTACCAAGAACCTTCCTCTTTGCTACTCCACCTTTACGATTCTACGTTTGCGCAACAGATGTTTTTACCTAATAATGATTGACGACGTTAAACAACTAAAAGGCCGCTGTAGATTTAGGCGTGAATGTGGAGAGGTGTGTGTAAAGTTGCGTAGAGGACTCCTGCGTTCTACTAGTAATTTCCGTTTGTTTCTTTGTGACACTCACTGGAAGTTCTTCGGGATCTATTGCATGTTGCTGATTCTCTTTTTGGTGTTCCAGCTCATTTTTTGAATCGTTTTCGCTCTTATTCGCTGGTGTGAAAGATAGGACTAGAGCTGTAGGCGTTGATCAGTCCCTGAGGGATGCACCACGCATTCGTCTTCATGAAGCACCGTTAGAGGTGATTGAATGCATATCCGGCCTTTACAGTGATTCGTGGTAGCCTACCGATATACCGAGCCAGTGCTGCCATCCTCCCAGACAGGTCTGGTAGCAATTTACCGATCCCTGAGGGATCGAGGGCTTGGTGAGCCTTGGACACGGGGATCGATCTCATTTGTGTTGCAGGTAGCTTCGGAGCACTGCGCTACACGCGCCCCTCGTTCGCATATTTGCTCTAAATGAGGATTTTATATGATTCGAACTTTGTTTCAACTTGGTTGAATCTCTACTCGATCGTGATTATCTTCATTTCTTTGTTCCACTTTTACAAATTGTTCCTACTCGATACGTTGCAGTTTTAGATGTTTGATGGCGGTAGGCGTAGTAACGATGATGAAGACGAGCAAGATGACGTGGACGTAGCAGGAATCAATGACGATGTCGTTGAAGCAATGGCAGAAAGAGGTTCTCCAGACGAACTTGCTGCGTTACGGGTTGCTATAAATGTGAGCAATATTGTTTGGGAATAGAACTTCGCTGTTTTTAATCCTTGCTAATCCCCTACTCTTTTTTTCCACTGTCAGCGTGGCATCCAAAACGGTGTACGGCAATTTCTGGGAATCCTGAATGACCGCGTTAGGGCAGGAAATGATCGTGGTGCAGCTGCGGATGTGCGAGGCTTGGATGGCTCTGATGAGGAGTCGCTTGATGATGAAGATGGAGCGTCTTCTGGAAACAACGATGGCGAAGCTAATCCTGATTTCGATGTTCATGTAAGATCGTATTTTTTTTCAAAAGTTTTCATGGTATTATAGCACTGGCAGATAGAAAACTGAGATCAGGCGAAACGAAGGACCCGCATGGTGTGGTGGTGAGCGCAATGGCCTCCGGAAAAGATAATAGCGCGTTCGTTCCCCAACGCAGATACCTGTGGTCCGGTGTTTTGCAAATATCTCATCATCATTATGGTTGCTTCCCACATTCGTTTTATTCGAATGGTTTCATTCTTACCTTTCGGCATTTTCACATCATATTTGCCATAAATTCCAGGGATCGTCGAGTCACCAATATTTGTTTAAACCTGCTCGAGCTTCTGAAGAAGTGCATGTGAGGATCTCATCATGGCTTCCACCTGGAGATGTATACACTGTCCCAATATTCAGTCTCGATCTTGTCGTTTTGCCCGGTATACATGTTCTGGCGTAGTGTATTGACATACTTAATTGAATTTATGTCGTTCAAGGTCAGGCGGTTCCAATGCAGTTGGAAAGTTCTGCTTCTCGGCAGATCATTCAAAAGGCTATTGACGGACTAAGCTATGTTGGCCTATTACCTGTTGTTCGTAGGGAGCCGAACACAAAAGTGGGACGGTATGGAATACTACTGCAAGTATGAGCATTTTCTGTCCTTGTTGCTATCAGTGTTCACTTGTACGTTTTAAATTTATAAATTTCCAAGGTTTCGGGAGAACCTATTTCCTAGTCGTTTTCTTTGATTTTGTTTTCAAGCGGTTGAATTTGAGGTGAACAAGTATTTGAACGATCCGTTGACCATGAAAGTCGAAGCAGCTGCAAATCAGAGATTTCGAGTGATCTCAGTGGACGAAACGTCCAGGTAGGTGGTGCGTGGATGTTGTTTTTCTTCATTTTGCCGGTTGTTTCAAACAACTTGATTTTGACGCAATATTCTGTTGGTATTTTAAAGCTGATGATGAATGCTGTTGAATATTAAAAGTTGAGAAGCCCTCAACGTTGATCTATCCATGAAGGATACGCCGTGCATACGACTCCATTCGTAACATCGTTGGAGGTGACTGAATGTATATCTGGCCTTTATGATGACTCGCGGTGACACACCGATATATCGAGCTAGTGCTGCTATTCGCCTGGACAACTCTGGTAATAACTTACCGACTCCGGAGGTATGAAAGGCTTGGTGGGCCTTGGGCACCGGGATCGATCACGTGTATATTGCAGTGCGCCTCTAACCACTGCGCATCAGAAATCGCTGCGGCCTTTAATTTCTTGGGAAATCATATAGGAGCATGGACTATAAAAAGAGTACCGGCTTCGGATTTCCTAGATATTTTAGTACGCCAATGGCAGAAGTGGAAGTTCTATGCGAATATAATCGAACACCACTTTTGCAAGCGGTTTGCCCAAGAAAGGTTTGGAAGATGAAGGAGGAGAAGGTAATTTTATTGACGGGATAAATGATTTTTACTTATCTGTTTATTTATATATAGAAGGTTGCTCTCTGTGCAGAAGTGTCCAATATTCCTTCGTTCGTTGTGAAGAACACAAACCTGGTGTGTTTCATTATTTTCTCTATCCCAAACACCTCTGTTACTGGCTTGTTGGTTGCATATTTAGGAAGCTCAATGTGAACGACTTGGATCATGGATGAAGATGTGGTTTTCAAGCGACAAAATTGAGCGCCGGTTGAGCCTGGTAAAAATCTTTTGAACAGTCGTCTTGTGTTTTATGTTGGTTTTATTTTGTTCTTACTTGTTTCGATTCTCAGGGACCTATCAACTTCAGTTATTGGGCAGCTCGGAACATTCCGATGACACTTTCTGCTAAATATGAACACCTTGTCGAGGATGAAACAAATTTAAGGATTGCAAGCCTGTTGAATTTAGTCAACCAGGTGTGTGAATAGGTGGCTACTTTTGTATGGTGCAGTTTTCACGGAATAATTTTAGATGACAGACTTGGTTTGTCGAGGGTGTGGCTTGTTAATTTGCAGTGTGCGAGACATAGTCAATATGAATAGTGAGGGAACGAGCTCCCACTTCGTTAATAGTGGTAGGTTGAAAGTAAAAATAACCAGTTTCATCAGAACTAGAACAATAGGCTTTCGTGTAGCAAATCCCAAGATCGACTTTGATTTAACCTGAGAATTGATCAATAATTAACTGTTTTTCTTGATAAACAAGTAATTGGTTTGCAAAACTCCGGACCGCAGGTGTCTACAGTCCGGAGTTTTGCAAATATCTCAGCACGATTGAAGTTATACTTCGCAATATACCCTGCCATTAAAAAAATGAAGGCAGTAAATAAAGCGGTTAAGTACTTGGTTGTTATTACAGTATTTTTTAATACACAATGGCTGATGTTTCTGCGGTTTTGCCTTCTTCAGCGCCTGAAGGATCAAATTGACTTGCAACCTACTCTGCCAGACGCTTTCATGGTCTTAGCAGATAAAACTTAATACGTAATTTCTTATTCGAATAAGGAGGATCTTTTAAACACTCGTCGTTGTGTTCTTTGTAAGACATCCATTTATTTTTTGGTATCCATCCAGACAGAGCATTATATGGGTGACTCATCGCATAGACATTTTTGCGCTGCTGTGAGGTTGGTAATAAACTTTTTGATGTCGTACATTTTGAGAATTTCGTCCTGAAATATGCGGAAATCGGTATCTAATTCGCCGATTAGTTCTTTCCTCGCAGCAGCGCAAATATGTGGGATGCTACAGCTTCGAGATTTAATAGAATTGAAAACTAGTCTAAAAATACTAAAGTATCTGTTGATCATAAGGGTGGTGAGCTTGCAGTAATTCCTCGTCAGATGTTGACACGTTGGAAAAACATCTTGAAACGCTTCCTTTTATCACCCATCGTCTGAAATTCGAAAATCTATGCCGAAAATTGAATACCGAATGGGTCAAAGTGGCAAGCGCGGCAGGTTTAAAATCACCAAATATTTCGCAAAATAAAACTGGATTACCAGCATGTTCTGTATTATACCTACGTATCGAAATGTAAGTTAATACCCACGGATGATCTTGCGTTCGCCAACACCTCAGTCTGTGAGAGCAAACCAATTATCAGCTACATAGGAGAGTCTACGGATAGAATAGCTTAGTTTATGAACCTAATTCTTATACAGGTGTTGAAACACATCCCATCCCATCTCACGGCTAACCAAATGTTCCTGGATCTGACTGAGAGAAAGGCAGAAGAAGGGCCGCAATGGTGCTGTGCGTCACAAGCGAAACACCGGAAATTGCCGTTCAAACACTACCGGGCACTCTAGGACGGCAGATAGTCCGTAAACGCCTGATACAACGAAAAATTGCTTAATATGCCCTAGCGGTAGAGACGGTAACTGATTGAGTTCGGATACAGTGTACCTAATCTATTATGAAGCGTGCGGGGACGACTATTTTGGCGAAATGGGTGGACCGCTTTGTGTCCGCATGAAAGAACACCTAGCCGATAAACTTTAAGTTAAACTAAATACGGCAGTAGACGCGCAGCGGACAGATGAACAACGGAGAAGATTCCAACATGAAGGTCGCTATCCTTACATAAGAATTAAAAACGCCAGCGCGTAAAACTCTTGAAGCGTTTTCAATAAGTTCCAAAACTCCAGAAATGACTAGCAAGGAGGAGTGCATTGTGATCTCGCTTTACCTCGAGCCATACCTCAGGTAGATTTTCTGACCTGAGCTAGGCTCATTCTTTGCCCATATATGACTCTTTGCTGCTGGTCTCAACCAAATAGCTGAGAGGAACAGAACGGTGAATGTTCAAAGAAAGCACTACGCGAATAAAAATTTATGTTCTAAGTTTTGTTTGCTGGGGTTGTGAAAGTGTTTGGCAGAGTAGTTTGCAAGTCAATTCGATCTTTTTAGACTCGAAGAAGGTGCAACCGCCGCAATGTAAGCTATTGTGGATTAATAATCAGAAAACCAGTGAATAGGCTTTAATTATCATTCCCTGGTAGAGAAATCTGTTAGATACTTATGCAAGATTCCATAACAGGCACGTCACAGCTGTATTAACAAGTGTAATCTATTTTAGCAGGCTACATTCATGAAATGGTAACTGTCTCAGTTGCTCAAAATTTCGTCCCCCGAGACCAGCCATCTGCGAAGTTTAGCTGGTTTCCAGGGTAAATAGTTCCCTATTTATTATTTTCTAAATATCTGATTAAATGCGTCGTTTTCTTGTTCAGTAATCGCGAGGTTTTTAAACAGCATACATTTACTTCCATAGAAAATACAATACAACACTAGCTGACGTTTCGGCGGTATCGCCTTCTTCAGAGGCTGGAAGGGTATACTGATATACAATCTACTAAGCCAGACGCTTCAATAACACTTACAAAAAGACGAAAAACTACTGTAATTACATGTTCAACAGTTCCTCGAAAAACTCACCGCTTTTTTCGTGAGTTCCAGTGAGGAAGTTTAGAACAGATGTTTATAGTCGCATATGGTTGACGACTGCACCATCCCACATCAAAAATCGATGCGAACATACGGGGTCAGGTCGCATATGACCTCCGGGCATTCATCCCTGCTATTCATTATAGGGTTTTTGGCATTTATCCAAAAAGCCTCAAGAACTTTTCGCGCTGGTGTTTTTGACTCCTATGCAAGGATATTGATTTTTACTTCAAAATCTGGCTGACTTCCGTTTTTGGACGTTCAAATAAACCTATCATGTAGTGGTTACCTGACAAAGTGGTATCGAAAGCCAAGTACCAAGAACATTCTTGTTCATTTCCTTTCTTCCCATCTTTCAGACACAAAGAGGACGATTGTGAGAAACATGTTTAGAACAGCTGCCTTTGTGTGCACTACCAGGAAACTAAAGGAAGAATCGCGCGACTTGGCTTGGCAAATAGCCATCTCCAATGGCTACGAAATAGTAACCCCACGAGATAAGTTTACAAGGAGAACGACGCCAGCAAATAGCCATCTCCAATGGCTACGAAATAGTAACCCCACGAGATAAGTTTACAAGGAGAACGACGCGCCCACGCGAAACACTTGGCCATAACAAAGTCCCGTTTATGTTGCCTTTTATAAGCGATGAAGTAAGCGTAGCTATACAACGATGCTTAAGAAGGGCAGGTCTAGAGGGATCGGTAGCGATAGTTGAAATACCACCGGCTACTCTACGTCGTCAGTTAGTTCCTAACCGCCTGTATGGCCGTCTGTGTGAAACAACAAATTGCGTAATTTGCCCTTACGACGGGGACGGTGATTGCATGAGTTCAGGTACGATATAGCTGATCTCTTGTAACAATTGTGGATATGAATATATTGGCGAAACGTGCAGACCTTTGTGTATCCGTATAAAAGAACACTTAGATGGTAAACGAAAACTAAGACGAAGCACCCCACTAGACACGCATAGGATACAAAAGCATAGCGGAGACGATTTTGAAGTAAAAGTCAATATCCTTGCACAGAAGTCTAAAACACCAGCGAGAAAAGTTCTTGAGGCTTTTTGGATAAATGCCAAAAACCCTACAATGACTAGCAGGGATGAATACCCGGAGGTCATACGCGACCTGATCCCGTATGTTCGCATCGATTTTTGATGTGGGATGGTGCAGTCGTCAACCATATGCGACTATAAACATCTGTTCTAAACTTCCTCACTGGAACTCACGAAAAAAGCGGTGAGTTTTTCGAGGAACTGTTGAACATGTAATTACAGTAGTTTTTCGTCTTTTTGTAAGTGTTATTGAAGCGTCTGGCTCTGTAGATTGTATATCAGTATATACAGGCTCTGAAGAAGGCGATACTGCCGAAACGTCAGCTAGTGTTGTATTGTATTGTTTTTCTATGGAAGTAAATGTATGCTGTTTAAAAACCTCGCGTTTGCTGAACAAGAAAACGACGCATTCATATTCCAATGCTGAGGTTAATAGAAAGTTCATCCTGGGAACTATCTGATTAGAAGAGTATCTTATAGTTACAAGTGGCAAATCATTGAGTGCCGTTTCTGTATGGACCATTTGGGTTGGGAATTTACCTCTCGTCGTTTCAATCCCGCTAGGTTTTATGGAATAACGAGAAAGGCGGTGGTTCCTCGCAAAGCAACGGCTGATAGTGAGGAATCAGTTTCGGACTAAATATTGCTCGTGTTTAATGTGATTTGTTCGTGGCAGAAATTACAGAACTAGTCGTTTATTTTTTCACCGAGTTGTATTTTGTTATTGCTTTGTGCAGGTGTACATATGTAGTTTTCTCGTGTAGCTGAGATCAGGCCTCGTTTCTGTACCTGCTTAGATTTTTATTCTAGCATTTTGCAATGAAACAAACTGAGTTCTTTTACTCCAAAAGTGTTCTGATTGTTTGCTTTCTCGCCTATGCGAACTGCTGATTCTACGGCTTCTGAAATAAAAATTTTGAAACGTTAGTCTATTCATTATGTAGCACTTGGTCGTTGACCGTTTCATCCCAATGGCAGTGCCCCACTGAATTCAGTATTTATCATTTTAATTACACTAATGTTCTTTGTAGTTATGGCAGACATCAAGCCGAATCACACTATCTATATCAACAATCTTAATGAGAAGGTTAAGAAGGAAGGTAGGTGGGAGAGTTTCTGCCCATCTTCCTGTTGAAATGCATATAATGTCTTGCAGAGCTAAAGAAAGCCTTGCACGCTATTTTTACGCAATTTGGAGAAATTATCAGTATTATGACTTTCAAGACTTTGCGTATGAGGGGCCAGGCGCACATAATTTTCAAAGAGGTGACTCAATTTACTACTGATATTAACATGGTGTGCTATTTGTCTGAGAGCTATAGGCCAGAGCTATAGGAGCTATTTTTAGATTTCTTCAGCGTCAAACGCATTACGTGCAATGCAAGGATTCCCATTCTATGACAAGCCAATGGTTTGTTATTATGTACACGAGGCGTTCTATTTAAACGGTTATATATCCAGTTTAGAAGAACATTGGAAACGTTTTTCTATTTAGCGTATTCAATATGCACGTGAAGACTCTGATATCATTGCTAAAGCGAAGGGCACTTATGTCGAACGAGCAGCTCGAGTTCCAGTGCGTACGCAAAAGAAGAAGAAGGTAATGTTGGTTTACAGAACTGGAAGCATAGCTGTTTCAAAATAGCATACTTAACACATTATGGACAACGCCTGGTTTTGTGTGGCGTCCATATCGGACGGAACTAATCCATACTGGGTACGCAGCAAGAAATCTGTGCTGCCATCCGACAATCTTGGAGAAGTTGAATCGGTAAATGAGGATGAAAATGATGATATGAATGGTCAAAAGTGCTGAATTAGGACCGAAAGTTACTCAGTTACCGAACAGGTACTGGGTTAGAAGGACCACCCCAAGGCCACAAGGTTAGAGTGATGAAAGGTTCTATGCGTAAAGGCAGGTGTTATGTTAGGTTACCGGTTGAGGTACTATTTGAGTTCGAGTTTGAGCTTCGGAATGTTTCCTTTCAGGACCGAAGCTACATCAAGGGGTGTACCAAAAGTTGTGTAATCTCCACGTATTCGATAACAATAGGTATACTGCATTAGACAAGCCGTAAAAGGTAACTCCACCTATGAAATTTCTCAATGGTGGTTTTGGAAGAGTGTACAAAACAGTAAAACTGTTTAGAGTCACTGGTGCCATTTAGAGGGAGAATGTGCTCGCCACTATGTTCCACATAAGAAGCCTGAGTGAAATGAAGTAAATGTGGAATCATATTGGTCAATATGTGCATGAGAGGCGCCTGGACACAGAGGAACGAGTGTATTACGGTAACGATGTCACTGGAATTGAGAAGTGTGCTAGTCCGTGTCCTTGAAGACCATGGAACGGTTTAGTGAAAGCGAAGTTGGATCCTGTGCACTGGTAGTTTTGTTTGAGTATCGTGTTGGCTACATGATTTCTAACGCTTCGCTGGTCGAAACAGGCACGAGGATCAGTAAAGAATGCTCTAAGCTTTAACAGAAAGCAGTGGAATGGAAGGTAAAGTTGGAGCAGTGAGTGCATTGGTGCTTGAATGGAAAGAGGACTACGAGTTACCGCGATTTGCACGGTGGGTGACACCACTCTGTTGGCAACTCATCAGTATTCAATTTCTCATAAGCTACGACTAGGAGCAGTTCTAGATGGACGCAAACGGCCATAAAACGTGGTTTTCTCGATATGTCAGGATAACAAACAAATTATATGCACATTTTTTCTTCTTTATGGTTAGATATTTACATTTCGTCCCATTCTGCTAATCCAAACATTTTCTTGAACACATATAGATCTGTTTTAAGAATATAGAGGGGTCTCATCAAATCGAAGATCTAAGGCTGTTCCTATGCGATGCTAAGCAGGAGAGTTCCTACATTCTAAATCTGCCATTTCTTGGATGAAACCCCAATGAAATGCAGAAAATGAAAGTAGCGCCCGCATGTGGTGCAAAATTTTGCTGTCATTGATGGTTTCATATATGTATGTGAAAAGTTTTGAATTACGGAGGTGGCAAATTGTAATTATCGTAAGTAATAACTTTCTTAGATTTTCAAATTTGCTTGAGCGGGACGAAGTTGAAAACCTCAAATATTCGTGAAGATACACTATACGGGAGTGAATGACCGTGTAGTTTTGTAGGATTATCAAAAGATATTCCTTGTGAGCAATAACGGCGAAGCTAGTGAGCTTGTTGTTTTCTGCAATTTTCAATGTGGAGAACATAGCGCTTCTCCTCCGGCACATATTACAAATTTCGGATGAAAATCAACTCATGATTTCCAGTCTGCCCTAACTCCATCGTTATGCGAATTGTCAACAAAGGAAGCATATTACTGCATAATTACACTTCTATATTTAGGGATCCAAAGGAGGTGGTGGAGGACGAGGAGGCGCTGGTGGAGACGAGGGACCAGCACCACCAAATAAGATCTTGTTTTGCACAAACCTTCCTGATGAGGCTACAACAGACATGCTTCAAATTCTTTTCAACCAGTAGGTTTTATAAGCAGTCATTTTGCTAACTCGATATTAATTTATGTTTTCATATTGAAGGTTTCCTGGGCTCAGAGATATTCGCTTGGTACCGAATCGTTCGGGTATTGCTTTTGTCGAATTTGAATCGGAGGAGTTGGCAGCTCCTGCTAGGATTGCTTTGAACAATTTCAAAATAACTCCAGAGCAGCACATGAAGGTGGATTATGCCAAGAAATAGAATTTGTCGCTGGTAACGATCTTATTCACAACCACTGTTGTTTTTGTCCTTAACTATGATCTTCATTATCTTCCATCATGGTTTTGTGGAATTTTTTGCTACTGTGTACTCCGTTGTGTTTTTGTAATAAATTGTTTTTATTTCTTATGCTTTGCATACTCACGCATTTGGGCTACTTTGTTTATTTTACATGGTTGTCACGGAAATCACTGTGTATACGGTCTTCCGTCTCCGTTTTCACAAGTTTCGGTATTTAGGAATTTTTTTGGATGGCTCGAGCAGCTTTAAGGGTGTCGTTACCATTGGCAGTACGCTATGCATTACGGTTTGTGGGAAAACCGCTCAACCTCTCTGGTTTTCGCCTCTCTTATATGGTATTTTATTATAGCTCGTCGCAGCGTTTGCGTTCATGTGGGAAAATTGTGTCAAATTGTGGTCGACCGCAAGAGACAAATTGTTGGAACTGCAGTGATGCAGTGAAGTGTACGAAGCAATTCTTTTGCGACTCGTGTAAGTATTACTGTTTCTGAATAACCATTTGGTAGTTTCCTGGTTTTAAGAGGAGTGGAGGAAGTGTGGTTCAGGTTTGCTTACCTCCATGATAATAGCGGAGTCCTACAATGAAGTGCCTTTCAGTCCGTTGAAATTGTGAGGAGTGGTCACTTATCTGTTGATTGTCTTTTCATCTCTTCCCTATTGTTGTTCTGGTTCTATTGCTCAATATTTTCGACAATCTTAGCCTTTTTATTTACTGCCTATTCTTTTTAACGGCAGAGTATTTTGCCAAATATAACTACTATAATGCTGAGATATCTGCAAAACCCCGGACCGCAAGTGTCTACGATGGGGAACGAACGCGCTATTATCTTTTCCGGGGAGTAACGCGTTCACCACCACACCATGTGTGTTCTTCGTTTCGCGTGTCTCGCAGCTAGTTGTATCGATCTTTTGCCATCGCATCGATAGAACTAGCGGAGAGAGAGACTGTCGACAATATTCTTCTTTCATTATTTTGAGGTCATACAATACAACCGCCAGTGGAAGCCCAGAATTTGTTTGAGTATATAGGAATACCGGTATCGTTCGATATCGAAGAGTCAGTGCTCAAGAAGAGGTAGTGATGTGTTCTACTTATTTTAGCAACATAGCTTCTCATGGATATTTAGGTTCCGAGAATTACAGTCGAAACTTCATCCTGATAAATTCGTGCATGCCTCAGAGCTTGAGAAAGAAATTTCGGACGAGCACTCTCGAAGGTTGAACGAGTCCTACAAAATACTATTGGATCCCTATCTGCGAGCAAAGTATCTTCTCAAAATACTGGGAAATAAGGAAGAATGTATGTGTTAGAGTTTTTGCTACGATTGTGCACTAATGCACGATAGACCGCTATATTTTGGAGTTTTAACACTACAGAACAACGTGTGTAGCGCAGTGGTTGGAGACGCCCTGGAATGCACATGGGATCGATTCCCGCGCCTTAGGCTCACCAAGCCTTCCATCATTTCGGGGTCGGCAAATTAGTAGCTGATTTGTCTGGGGGAATAGCAGCACTGGCTCAACACATCGCTAAGCTATCGCGAGTCATTGTAGAGACCAGATATGCATTCAGTCGTCTCCAACGATGCTTAATGAAGTCGAGTGCATGGCGCATCCCTCGGAGATTGTTCAACACCGAGAGTCTTTTTTTAGCACTGCAGAAGAGTACTGTATCATATATCCTCTGACCAGTAATGTGATAGTTATTTGGCGCAATATTTCTCATAAGTAATGGGAAGGGGTTTATGGCTGTCAAGAAAATATTAGTGCAAAATTAGGACAATTTATGTACGTTACTCAAGTAGGAATGGACTTTCTCGACGATTCTAGCTAAAAGGATAAGTATGGTTTCTCGATCTCAAAACTGCTTTCAGGCCAAGATTTGGATGACGATTCTTTGTTGAAAATGATGGAATGGAACGAAAAAGTGGCAGTTATAGAAGATGAAGAGGAATTGTCTGAAGAGAAAAGAAAATTACAGAAAGAAATCGACATTCTTTTGGCCCGATTAAAGGAACTGTTTGCAGAAAAGGATATTAAGGAAGTGTGCTCAGCAATCACCAGGCTCAGCTATCTTTATTCGTTGCGTTCTTCCATTGAAAAGAGGATGGAGAGTATGTTGCGGGTATAATGTCTGTAATGTATGTAGTGGTGTGATCATATTCGTGGATGTAGTCACTTCTTTTCTTCGATTCATTGTAAACTTCGAAAAGTCTTGTCACTGTTGGCTTCCATATTCAGTGGAAATTTAGGGAAATGTTTAGGAGTAGCGTTTCGTTGATTCCATAGATGTCCGGTATCGTATAGATTTCGGAGATTTCGTGTATTATCAACGTCCTATAGAAATATCTCTGAAGCGTTCAGGATGTGCAATTATTCCAGTGTCACCTGTTCCAGATTTTGTTTATGCCCACATAACTCCAATTTTTAATCAGTATATGGCGAAGCTTAACTGTAGCCGATAAACATATTTGAAGTTGGTATTGGAATGGAATCCTAACAATCGTCATTATCGATCTGGTACATCCAAACGGTGTCCTCGTACATAAGTAGTACAAGTGAAGATGCACACAGAACAATGATGTCCATGAAAATTTCGCTTACTTTCCTAAATGCCTTTGTGTGAATAACGATTCACCGTATAAAAGTAATGAAGCTATTCGGTATGACACCTATAGGTGTAACTGTAAGACTATTCGGTATGACACCTATAGGTGTAACTCTGAGTACAGTGAAAAGTTATGAGGCATTCATTCACTCCTCAACAAACTTAAAACTAGGCGATATCGCGGGAGTTAATGACCGACGTGAATGGATTTCCATCCGTAAAACAGAGGTTAACTGAACTGACGTGAGTTGATGTCGACTCACGTACTTGTGACAACAGCTCATTTCTCTATGCAAAGTTTTCTTATTGTACTTTCTGTATTCAGTGGGTAGCGTATCCAGAATATGACACTGTGTTGGGAATCGGACCGGAGGTAACTTGCAAAAAACTATTGGTTGGACGAATTCCGTGGGCGAGGGAGTGTTGATGGTTGTGAGACCAGCCGACAGAGAGGCTGCTGCTGTTTAAAAGGGTACAGAGAGGTAGCTGTTGGGCGTTCATGTTAAAGTTGGGCAACTAAATAGATGTTCTAGATACGATAAGATGGTAAGTTGTTGAGGAGAGTTCTTTTTGTTTAATCGCAGTATAGTTGTACATTCGGAATCACCAAACCTGCATGTTAACGGACTTCGAAGCCCTATTCTCATGACATTCTGATATTGTAAACATCTTGTTCGAAGGCATTTTTAAAATAACTTTCTTGTAATTAGCAACTTCTGTGTAGCATTTACAATCTTTGCAACCTAGAACTTCTATGAGTAATCTTCTTCACATATGACTTACAATTGTCATAACCAACAGTCTTTACAGTTCAGATGTTTTATAGAAAGGATAAAAAAGGATGAAGCTCTCACCGTTGATTTATCCCTGAGTGATGTGCCTTCATTAAGCATCGTTTGGAGGTGAATGAAAAAACCCATATATGGCCTATATAATGAGCAGCGGTGACCTACCGATATAACAATCGAGTGTTGCTATCCTCCCAGACAAGTCTGGTAGCAACTTACCGACCTCGGGGGAGGGATGGCTTGGTGATCTTTAGGCATGAGGAGCGATCCCATGTCTATTGCATGGCATCTCCCACCACTGCGCCACACGTGCACTAATGTTTTATATACGATTTAAAATGTTTGAATTCTTGGACTTCTATAATTAACACTTATTGTGACTACTACTGAAGCAGTGTAGGTAGAAATCTTTGTGACATTCACTGCCGAGTGTGAATCCGTTTGAACAGCGATCTCCAGAAGATTTTAACTGAATTCTTGTCAATGATTTCTGGCAAGTGACAAATTTCTCCACTTTTCTATTCGGTCATCAACGCTGATTTTCTCGGATCCTGACGGATAATCTGCTTTGGGAGCCTTTCTCTCCTCTGTCACTAGCCAATCAGATTGATTTCCTTCTCGATCAGTCTCTCAGCCAAGAAGACACTTCTATATCCGATATACAAATGTTTACTTTGGTCCAACAATCGCCCAACAACTCTGTAACTAACCAAACTTCTGGTTATGTGCTTATCTTATCGGTTTAAGCTATGGTGCTGTGTTCATTGCCTGTATAAATGACATTTCTATAAATTCAAGCAGGGAATCAGCAACACACACGTTAGCGGGTCTGTAGATCTCCTAATTTGAAGAGTGGTCTTATCCCATGCAAGAGTTTTGGTTGTCCGAAAATTGCCAGTACTGGTCCAAAAACCAGTATCCTCTACTATGTGTGAAGAACATGAATGTGAATCTTGATCAGTAATTGATTGTTATTTTATTCGCAATCCCTGTAGTGGGGCAAGGTTATCTCACGGAATGGAATTTTATGGAAAATATCGGAGAACACTCTTTATCTGGTGCAGTTTCCTATTTCTGTGTGTAAATTTCCTTCCAACAGTCAAACAATCTACTTGTTTCACAGCTGGCAAGAATTTCCCCTATAATATTTGTATACTAGAAGTGGTCCACTTTAAAAACCTGTGCTTGACTAAGCGTTCCATAACAGTTGACATCTGCATGCCTACAAAAACAGTGACCTGAAAGAAGTCACACTTAAAACAGTAGCGTCGACCATCATTTGGCATCCGGAATTCGCCACCAACTATTTTTGGCTATCTCTGCTTGCACTACTACTAGCTCATTATTCTAAGTTCTTTGTATTCTATATCTCACTTATTTCTCATCCTACTTAACCATTCTATAACAGGGTCTGGTCTTATTGTCTTTGCACTTTCTCACTTGTCATTTTTCTTTGTTTGTTGATTCCTTTGTCGTTTTGCTACTGTTTGTATCGCACATATACAGGGTTCAATTACCCAACTTTGACGTAGACGTCATGGAGATGAGCGAAATATGAAGGACTACATGGCATTTGCGAGCATTTGCAAGCATTTATGAGCCCGTCATCATGTCACACTTTACTCGAACGAATAGTTCAACCTTCAACATTCTTCGAAACCCAACGTCACCTTACAAATTCGTCAAAGCAAGCCGAATTTAGATATTGACTTTAAAATTTTTTTTCTACAACATAGAGAACCTGGAAAGTAATGTCTACATTCTATTCTAGAACTGTTATCTGGCCGATGTCGCAACACATGCAAGACAATCGCAGACCAGTGCAGAAAGTACAGTTTGCTACCGAACAAAGCAACACTTCAATGCACGTAGTGAGGAGTATCAAACCAATTATTCGACTTCTAATTATTCAGTTCCTACCGCAACCAGCTACCATTTAATATAAATTTGTTGCATTGGCCTGTACAACCGGCATCATCAGTCTTTATATCCTGATTGTTCCGTAGTTTGGTGTTAATCAAATGGTTATGTTCGAAGTAGTTATGCACTGAGTACTTTCTAGGCAACAGCAGAGGGAAATGCGAGATGGATATGGTGTGTGGAGACTACCGTTAATGGGGTTACTATTGAAATTCTTAGTGTCTTTAAAACAAAACTGCTTATCGAACCTCTATATTGGTTATACGATGAGGAAATAATGGCCGCTTTTAGCTAGAATGCCCAATGGGTTTCATTTGTTCGAGATCACGAAGATATTTCACTTCTGCAGTCGGTTGTCGCCTCATCGCAGCCCTGGGTAGGTGTATTCCAGGGTGTTGAAATGTAACAGGCAGGGTTCACTGCTTAAGCAGGGCTATCCAAACTGGGTGGGCGTTATACACTTCTACCCTTGAAAAGGTTAATAATGGGAAAATATGGTTACCAATCCGTTACTATTGGAAACGAAATTTTTCAGTTTTCGTGGTGAGCAAACAGATTGTTATTGCAGCATTTATTTCGCCTTCTTCAAAGCCTGGAAAAGTTAACTTGACACGCAGCTAAACAATCTCATAACTTCACCTTATAAAACTTGTTGCGAAAATTCCTCCCAACGGTTTACCGTCTTATCGTGGCTAGGAGGTGTTCCTGGGTGTCGGACTGCGATGTACAGCGGGGGATTTATCCTCTTGCAGGGTTCCCAAGCTGAGAAGGTGTCCGGTAAACCAATACCAGGATCCACCACTGTCCTGGTATCAAACCATGTCGCATGGTGGCAAATCTCCCTCTGATCCACAAGGGCGGTGACTGCCTGTAGTGGTGAAGACCTGGGGCAGACTTTAGCCAGGCTAACCTCGGGACTCTAAAGAACCATAATGGCTCAACCAGCAATTCTTCGAAATATGGAGGTTATGCTGGAGCCCGCACAACCAGTGAGGAAATTTCCATTCGCATAGTAAAGAACATCTTTTAAGCACTCATTGCTTTGTTCATTGTAGATCTTCCAGTTTTTTTTGTTGAGAACAGGCGGAGACATTCGGCTTCTATATCGTCCTTGAATGGTCGGTCACTTTTACATTCCTACTTTCGTTTCTGATTTCGGTTTTAACATCTCTCCGAATCAACTAGTAAGAAGACCGAGCGAAGCATTCGTCGCCTAAAACACACCTCCCTTTGATCCACATCGTGGTGAAGACCTGGATACGCCCTTGCAAGATTACGTCAGGACTCCAGGGAGGACCAAGTTGTACGACCAGCAGTAGGCCAGTCTCACTACTCCGCACGCTGGGTGCTGCCGTCTATGACGTCAGGCGGTGAGACAACCGGTCAGGGGCCATAAAATTTCGGGTTACGCAGTACATCATTGGAACCTGATCTGACGAACACACGCACGACACGCCATGGAGATTGTTTCTTACTATGCACGTGTAATCGCAGAATATTCTCCACAGACGCCGATCTTCACGCCTTTCTTGTAGCCGCAGATCGCATTAAATTTCATGTGATCGCATTGCAAGAAACAAAAATCAAGAACACCGACATATGCTAACTAAACAACAGGACCCTTGTGATCTGTGGAGAAAAGGTTACGTCACGAAATGTCGGTGGCGTAAGCTTTGTCACCCACCCGTCCATTGTCCACCTCGTCGATTCATACGTGATCCTTTCTCCTCACATAGCCGTTCTCCGTCCTCAACTGTCGCATCATAAGAAGATCACTATCACCAACTACTACTCACCGACCGACGCAGCTGATGAGTAGGAATTAAATGCACTCTGCTATCAGTTGGAGGAAGTGATCCACAATGATAAAGCATATAGTAAATTAGTTGTTGGAAACTTCAACGCCAGAATAGGAAAGGCCAACGAGAGCGAATACAGGATCGGAAATTTTTGATTAGGAGAAAGAAATGAGAATGGGAACCGTCTCGCAGGACTCCTGTCAGCAGCACGTCTCCTTCATGGAAACTCGTCTTTCCAGAAGAGAGAAAGCTGCCGCTGGACATGGGAGTCTTCAAACGGCATGATTCATGCGGACGTTGACCATATTCTGACAAACAGAAGATGGTGCCTACTTGACACATCGGTAGTCCCGTCATTCTGTATTGGTTCCGATCACCGCCTTCTTCTCGCGAAGATTCGATTCATCCGCAAGCTGGAAAAGAACTTTCTTCATTGACCACGAGGAAAAAGGCTAGCTGTATCGAGAACATTCTGAACGAAGTCCTGTCCAAACGTGACTGGCAGATTAAAGAAGACCCCACCGAAGACTACGAGCTGCTTATCGAAGGACTGAAAAGCTGTGCCGAATTCGCCTCAGTTCCTCAGGCAAGAAGATCGGATCGCATCTTCATCACTTCTAAGGAGTTGCTCGAATAGAGAAGAAACTAAAACTTGATCCTCCTGCAACACGTTTAACATGGCTAGTAATAAATGCCAGTTGCAGAAGAGCTTTGCAAGAAGATCTACAACGGTACCAGCAGAAGAAAATACTGGAAGCAGCAGAGAAAAGAAGCAGTCTGAAAAAATGCGGTCGGGACTTGTGTGAATATAATGTTCCTCTGTCAGTCCTGATGAACGAGGACGGGATCGTCAACACCTCCTTCCATGATATGGAATTAATAGCGGAAACATTCTACATCAACCTTTTTCATTCCACAATCCCCGTTCCTGGACTGTGTTATCGGAACTGCACTACAAAAATGCAGCTTTTTCATCGACCTCTTACAATACCCATAAGAAAAGGGGTTCGACAGGGCGACACAATATCGCGAAAGCTGTTCAGTGCTGCACTGCAGTGGATACTGAAGTCACTCGATTGGGATGAGAAAGGCATACGTATTGATGGAAAATTCCTACTAAACCTTTGTTTTGCCGACGACATTGTCATCTTCTCAAGAAGTACTAACGAAGCAGAGGTGATAATCAACGAGCTCAACGAAGCGGACAAAAAGATCGGACTTCGCATAAATCGAAAGAAGACCCAGTTCATGAAACACCCATGGTGCGAAGGCGAAAAAATTGAATTAGATGGCTCTCATTGAAGAGACTACCTCGTGCGTTTACCTTGGGCGATCAATGAACACGGAAAAGAACATGAAAGAGGAACTAGATAGAAGAAGGAGAGCAGCTTGGGCCGCATTTGGGACTCCCAAAGAAGCCACCGACCAAGTTGATACTTCAACTACGTCAAGAATGCTTCGAAATACACAGAGCGGTTGGGCGATGTCTTCTGAAATATAACCGGCACTCTCAGTATGTAGCCGGAATGCGAAGTTCTCACCTTCGAAATCTGTCACATCTTCGAGATCCAGGAGAATATACATGGACAGCGGAACATAGATGTGCCAGTCACATAATGAGAAGAACAGACGACAGATGGATGAAAAAAACAGTACAGTGGACTCCAAGAGAATGCAAACTTACCCTTGGACGGCCACCTACACGTTGGGTGGACGTGTTCGTAAACGAAGTTAATCAGCTGTACCCACAGCTGCAGTTGTTTTACAGATCACGGTACGAGACTCGCTGGCGCTACCATGATCGAAGAAAACCACCATGGACTACGACTGCGAGAGAAAGGAACGAATGGCATATGTGCTGGGGTCCGCACAGCTCATGAAGACGGGCCGTCCAAGTATCCAAGTAGGAACAGGCGCAGAGAATTTCACATGGGCGACGAATGTGCCTGGTTCAGGTCAAGAAATCAGCCTGAGGTATGGCGCTGGGTCAAACATGATCACATGACACTCCTCGTTGCGGTTCATTTGTGGATCTTTGGAACTGATCCAAAACATCTCAAGAGTTACACGCTAATGTCTTGGATTCTTGTATGAGGATGGTGACTTCTACTTCAAAATCTTCTCCATTGTGTTTGTGTCCTATGTGCGCCTCGTGGAGTGTTTAGTCTGATTTTAAATTTAGCGACCTGGTGTTCTTTTAAGTGGACGCAAAGTGCTCTGCCCGTTTAGCCAACTTATTCGTCCCCACACTCTTTACAAGAGGTTGGGTTCACCGTACCCGAACTCATGCATGCAATAATCATCTCTACCGTTAGGACATGTTATGCAGTTTTGAGTTGTTTGTAGTTCAGTTGTTCAGTTGTGCAGTCATTCAGGCGGGTACGATAGTTGGCGTCTGAGAGTATTTGGTGGTATTTCGGTCACTTATGCCCTAAGTTTTGTCTGTGGAGGTTGTGAAAGTGTTTGGCTGGGTGGATTGTGTGTCAATTTGACCTTTTTAGGTTCTGAAGAAACCGCCGAAAGGTAAGCCATTGTGAATGAACTAATCCTTTAATAACAACCTCTTGTTTAATCATCCAGAAAACAGTGCTTATTGATTGATATGCCAATGTTAAAGGGGTCCTGGGATTTCCAACAGTATTTTGACCTACAAATGGTGATCGGATCGAATCGGCAATGATACAGAGCTGACTAGGCTGTCGTCCAACATCACAAATCTCAGTACAAGCGTCTACATCTGGCACTCTTTCCGTGTTGCAGTAAGAATTCGTACGCCAGAATCGATCAATAACTTATCGAACTAATCGTCGACTGGTTGATTGACAGGCCAGTGACTCTTTTTGTCATGGACTAGAATGGTGACAAGCTCGCTCGGTGATAACGTTTTTTGTTTCTGAATGCACTTTTCTGACTTTCTGGTTTTCGTATTGTCACCTGATTCACTTGCTTCCTTGCTGTTACGACTGTCTGCTGTCGTACTGCAGTTAATACTGCTCTAGTACTACTGCAGTTACTACTTTGTTCTAAATCCATCTAAGATAGTAACATTAAATAAAAGAATGGGTTCTATCATTCCCAAGATTCTGAATTTCTGTTAACCTCGGCAACAGTGGGTCATGGAATCGATGGCACAGTAAGAAATTAAGATTGATTCCAAACTTGCATTATTGTTATTGTTCTTATTATTATGTATTCTTTCTTTGATAACTTTACACGAAGTTAATCTGGATGTTTATTCGGCGAACGTTTCGACGTCTTCGTCTTCATTAGAGAAGCTTACCGAAGAAAGTATACATATTGATTAGTCGTACCGTGGTTGAAGGAATGCAGATTTTCAAGTTTTTGTATTATTATTATTACTATTTGAAATATTACTATTTGAGAACTAGGGCATAGATGTAGTCTTGGGCCAGAGATTCTCAGTCGTAAACTAGTAGTGGTGTTGGAAGAACTGTAACGAAGAAACAAACTGTGAATACTACCTCATAAATACTCTTCTGAATTCTTTATGATAGTTTGGTACGTAGTAATTTTAGAATGGGATAGTAGTTTTCCTCTGGACCTACTATTATTATTTGTCCCTAGTTAAAGGTCAGTTAAAGCTCCTAACGGCTTACCGCTTTATCGCCGTTCCTGGGTGTCGGGCTGCGATGTACAGCGGGGGACTCATCCCCGCTGCAGGGTCTTCCGAACTAAGAAGGAGTCCGGCGTTCCCATCAGGAAGCCCAGCGAAGAGTGAAGCAATACCGGAATCGACCGTTCTGGTATCAAACTAGTCGCATTGTGGCAAATCTGCCTCTGATCTACAAAGGTGTTGGTGACGACCTGGAGCAGAATTTGGCTGTGATGACCTCGGAGCTCCACGAAGCCACAATAGCTATGTCAGCAAAGCTACGGAAAAGTGGAAATCATACTGGGGCACGCACAACCAGTGAAGACGAACCATCCAGGTATCCAAATAAGTAAAGGTCAGTAGTCGTTCGATGTTAAAATTCCTATGTCGATGGAGATAAATCTTAAGTGAGTTTTCTTTTAGTTAACGTGATGAATGAATGGTTTCTCCTCATAAATAGCGAATTCCCTGCATTTCTAAACTGACTTCGCTTAAGCACCTGCATAACCGGTCGATATGTATTCTTTCAATAGATGTCGAAACGTTCTCGGAATAAAGATTGTTTGTCTACCTTGTGTAAGCTTATCAAGGAAAGAATACAACAAATTCTCTAGTTTGTGTGTGTTTTGGGATAGTTTTCAGAATTCTTTTTTGAATGCTTACGGTTTGATCTAATGGTTCATCAATGAATTAAGTCGATTACTTATCATGTCTGAGGCGCGTTTACCTCTAGTGGTGCTTAATGAAGTCGAATACATGGCGCATCCGTCACAGATTGATCAACGCTGAGAGCATTATCTTTTACTTATCATGTTACTTTTCTGCGCTATCGCGGTGTTGATGTAACCCATGCAGTACACCATTTCGTGTAGATTCTGTTGAAAGTTTTCTTGACGTTAGTACTTTGTTAGGGTAAAATGTTATAGTTCATTTAAGATATTCAAGATGTCCATATCTATGCAGCTCCACGACGATCTTGAGGATGCCGCGAATCGAATGCGTATCTCAGCTATTGAAATGACGTCTGCTGCAAAGAGTGGACATCCGACTTCTTCAACATCTGCAGGCATGTCAATTCTTTTTTCTTTTGCGAAATTTACTTATCCTATATAGCTTGTAAGGCAGGTATGCCACTTGGTTAGCAAGGGTTACAATAGTATCGCTGCTGCCACTGGAGAATCGAGAATCGCACTCAGTCATCAAACCTCTGTTCAACCTGTGAAGGCTAGTGAACGCCGTTGAGTGTGGAAAAGGAACCTGAAAATGTTCTAGTACGACTCTATTAGGTTGGGATTCCAGTGAAATTCATGCACAACGTCTTCAACTTCTTGCTGAGGAAAGGTAACAGATCGTCAGTCTGCAGCCGAGCCCACATACGGCGCTGACTGCTTTTTGGAGCGATGGTGAGAGGCAACGAAAAGAATATAAGAATCGCTGGAAATGCAAAACGTGTGAAGATGGGTCATTTAACCAGCTCCATAAGTAAGTTCTGCATGACCATAATGTTCATTGCAATTGAGGATTTGTATTTGAAGTTTGAGGAGTAGCCGAAACAATACGCGAAATGTTCGAAGACCTTTGTTAACGGCGAATGCGAGGAGAACGAATCCGATTGGAGAAATGTTGAGTTACGCACAGTAGATGTGGGACGGGTCGTGTAAAGCAAACAATTTGGAATCCATAGTGTTCAGGACGTGGTAAAAATGAAGTCGGCGTTTCTGGAAGCATATTTACTTATATGTACACAGGAAGACACCGTCGAGACTTCGACTTAGTGCGAGGTCAGTGAGACACCATCCTGTCCCTTAGCTTACTGGTTATATAGTCGGACGTGTTAATGCTGAGATTGGTCTTACGTATACCAATGGGTGTTCGCTGATCGGGCAGGACTTCTCTATTGATTTTTCGGATTTGTTCTGTCCTTCTCCTGCCTCATTACTTGAGAAAGTCTAGATTAATTAAACTATAATTAAACTAGTGTTCACAGTCTGACTAAACTTACTCGGATGAAACTCCGCTTTGCTTCAATGTTCGTTGATGGATTACTCTCTTTTATAAGTAGACGGCTAAACCACTTTTTATGGAGCCTGTAGTTCCAACTAAATAAACTATTCACGTCACCGACTACTTGCAGCTGATATAATGGCAACACTTTTCTTCCACGAAATGAAATATGACGTTGCACACCCGAAGCTGATTAGCGCTGATCGCTTCGTGTTATCCAAGGCAAGCCATGTTTATTATTGTTTTCAAAACGATCGAAATTGTAATGGAATCTGTGAAAATCTACATATCTTCAGGGTCATGCTTGTCCTATCCTCTATGCAGCTTGGGAGGAAGCTGGTTTGCTTACCAAAGAGGAGGTCATGTCTCTGCGCAAAGTAACTTCAGACATTGAAGGACATCCTACGCCGGTATGATGAATTCGTAATTTACTTGTTCCTTACGTTAGGGAGTACTTTATTACTTTTTCTATAGTCAGCAAGTGACAATATTGTGGCTAAATGTACCACTATGTTTCGAAATTTAGCGTCTTAATTTTATCGATGTTGCGACGGGTTCACTTGGGCAGGGTTTGTCGTGTGCTGCTGGTATGGCTTACGTAGGAAAATACATAGATAAGGTAAACTTCCAGTGAAAATTTGCAACCATGTTATGTGGTTTTTGAATATGTCAGCATGTAATTCATATTTCAAGGCAAGCTATCGGGTATATTGTCTAATGGGAGATGGAGAAACAGCTGAAGGTTCAGTATGGGAAGCTGCAGGTTTGCCCTTAGATAGATGTGACTTGTTCATGTTCAGAAAGTGGAGAGCAGTAATTATAATTAGCTATAGTTTTAGGTTCTTATTATAGTTTTCACTGACTAATTTTAAAATTGCATAAAGTGTTTATTCAGCTTTTTCATCTTATTACAAGCTTGACAACTTGGTTGCCATTGTTGACGTCAATCGCCTGGGTCAATCGCAAGAAACTGCTTTGGGTCACCGCGTTGAAATTTATCAGGTGAGACCGCAATACGAGTTCTTTCCTAGAATAAAAGAAGAGTTTGCCTTCATTTTTCTCATTATTATTACGGCAAGTAAACGATTCTGTCTATTTTGTTCACGTTAGGCTCGATTCGCCGCTTTTGGATTCAATGCCATTGTCGTCGATGGGCATAACATTTACGAACTCATCAAGGCGTATGAAGCGGCGCGAAACACTAAGGTTCGTATTAACACCATTTTTGTGAGCGTTAAAATGATGCTATTAATAAGGGTTCTGTAGGACAAACCAACGGCCATAATTGCAAAAACATTTAAAGGCCAAGGTATCGAGGATATCGCGGATAAAGAAAATTGGCATGGCAAACCCGTTCCTATCGACAAGGTAGGTTGCTAGTTGTATATCCGTGCAAAATATTAAGTTACTAGTGTTAAAAAGTCCTACTTTCAGATTGATGCTATTAAAAAACGTCTGCATGGAAGCCAGAAAGGAAAATTGGTTCCTCAGAAACCCTTGAATGATGCACCAAATGTTGATCTCCACTGCGGTTCCATCAAAATGGCAGCTCCTACGTATAAAATTGGTGAAAAGGTGACCTAATTGACTTTGAAAACGTGTTACCTACTTACCTTATCAACCTTAAAATTTTAAACATTTGGCTGTCCTTCCTTCTTAGCAGCTCTTACACTAATTGGTTATGGAATTTACGAAAGAATTTCTCATAGTTCCCAGGATCAACTTTCTCTTAACCTCGGCGTTGGAATATGAATGTGTCGTTTTCTTGTTCAGCAATCGCGAGGTTTTTAAACAGCATACGTTTACTTCCATAAAAAACATCTATCAGTTTACTCCAAGTATTTGACGTTATAGGGCGTTGTTCTTTGTAGAGCCAACTCGGTTATAATTACCTTTTGTGTTCATATACCTGTTAAATGCGAATAATGTACAGGTTTCATTACCTACTTTCTTGCAGTAAGCAAAAAACATGACTGTGGGTACTTCGACGGCCCCTTTTAGCGAGTTTTGTACACCTCAGCGCATTTACCACTCGTTTCTTTACCTTGCAGTTGTCGTCCATGGTGGTAGTTTGATTCGAGCATGCTGTCGGGTGCGACTCTCATGCTGCGGTCTGTAAAATAACTGAAGCTGTAGATACAGCTGATTAACCTTGGTTACGAAAACGTCTGCCTAAGGTGTTGGTCGTCGTCCTAGAGGACGCCTGCTTTCTCGTGCAGTCCATTCTACAGTACTTTTCGTCCATCTGACCTCATTATAAGACCAGCCCATCTATGTTTCTCGATTTCGAAGAACACATCGTCGCATTCCGACTAGGTATTGTGTGTGCCGATTGTATTTTAGGATACTTCGTTTAAGTGCTGTGTCAGTAGTGCACAGTAGTCTTGAAGTTGATGAATTATCAGCGCACGTCTCTGTACCATAACAGAGCGCTGGAAGGACTGTTGAATAGAAAGAGTGAGCGCGGGTTTTTGTGGTCTGTCAGTTGGTCAGTGTCATCTATGAGAGGACGGTTGAGTCCTATGCTGCTCTTCTTGTTCTGTCTATTCGTCCTTGTTGTTGTACATGTTCAATTAACACCCAAGATATAGGCAAGGGGTGGTATCTGTAATCAGAGAACAATCCAATTCGATTTGTTTACCTTCGCACCATTAGACGTTGATACTAAGTGTGGTTAGAGATGCTCTGCAATAAACATGGGTTCGATCCCGCTCTTGAGGTTCACCGAACCTTCCATCCTCCAGGGTCGGCTAGTTCGTACTAGACCTGTCCGGGAGATTTTCAGCACTGAAATCACTCGATTCATCTGTAGGCTCTTGATAGTCATTGGTAGTCATTGTTGAGGCCAGATAGACATTCAGTTACCTCCAACGATGTTTATTGGAATCGAATTCATAGCGCATGCATCTCTAAGAGATTGATCAACTCCGAGAGCTTTATCCTTTTTATCATTTATACGTGCAGAGTAAGAAACTGCCTCCACGGCGTATCGTTCGTGTGTCCTTCAGATCAAGCTCTAATGACGTCCTACGTAACCCGTGATTTTGTAACCTCTCACAGGTAGTCTCACCTCCTGACATCATAAACGGGAGCACACAGTGTGTAACGTATTCATGCTGGCCTATTGTTAGGTAGGCAATTTGATCTTCCCTTGGAGTCCTGAGTTAACCTTGCGACGGCATTGCAGCTGTTCACCGCGATGTCAATCTGAGAGAACTATCTTTTCGGGAGCGATTCTTTTATTCGATCATCATATTTGGGCATGATATCAGTACCGAAATCAAAAATGAAAGTGGTAATATTTCGTTTAGGAAAAATAAGGAAAGAATGAAAATAGAAGCTTCTGCTTTCATTTTTATAATTTTGTTACTCAACTTTAATTTCCTACTTCTAATGTATATTCGTTTAGCGGTATAAATACATTTCCATTTGGAATGAATATTTGGCCTGCTTTCATACGAAGAAAAATACACCAGAATGTCATAATAGCGTAAAAGGAACTGTAAATGGAAACCACACTGACTCTATAAAGTGGTAACGCTTGGATTTGATGTTGTAGGAGAACAGTTTGGAATAGAGCAGTTTAGATATTTAACACACGTCATGGTGTGAAATTGCCTGTCTTTTTTATGAGAACATTTTTCAAGAGGTTGTGCGTCTTCTAATCGCTACAGATTTTTATTTGAGTAATAGTTAAGCACCAGTTGTTTGGTGTTAGCTGTAAGATTCTTCCAGCAGTTTTCCGACAAAAGTATGTACTTTACTTTTAGACCAATGGATTAGAAACGGTGTTATCCAAACTGGTCGGAAGTGTAATGTTCTTGATGGAATTGGTTTTCATTGTTACGAATTCATATGTTCTTCCATAGTGCAGTGCTACCGAATAAGGCTTAAGAGAGGACTGACTGATCATCACTCTCAAATTGCTTATTTAGTTGATTGCTTCATTTATACAAAGTTACGGTTTATCTTAAACTGTAGTCACCGGTTTTTTTTAATCTTGAAATCTACAATTAGGCCGCAGTGTTGATCGTAACTACAGTGATTTCAGTGTTAAAGTCGGCTAGCGTTGTGTCCTAGTGGTTTCTTGTATGACTGTAGTCGTTTAAATAAATTGAACAATTTAGGTTGCAACGCGAGCCGCCTACGGAACTGCCCTGACCAAACTTGGAGATGTTAACCCTCGCGTCATTGGTCTTGATGGTGACACAAAAAATTCAACCTTTTCTGAGAAACTTCTCCAGGTTAGTTTCATGCCACATATACATCCTTTGATTAATTTTGGTGTATAATAGATACAACATAGCATCGTTCTAGAAGCACCCACAACAGTTTATCGAATGCTTCATAGCTGAGCAGAATCTGGTTGGTGTTGCTGTTGGAGCGCAGTGTCGTGATCGTACAATTGCGTTTACAAGGTGAAAAGTCCTTGCCCTTCTCTATAGCTTTATAATTACACTAATCATCTCTGCTCTCACTAGTTATCAAACAGACAGGAAGCAGTAATTTCTTGATTGGTTCCTATCGCGTGCCAGAGTTTCCTATTGCGTTCTGTTCATTCGAATGACACAGTAGAGTTCTCAACGTTTGGGTAGACCATATTTTTATCAACCTATCAAAATAAAGAGTAAAATGATAAAACTTTCGACGTTGATCAACTCCTGAGGGATGCGCCATTCATTCGACTTCATTAAGCATCGTTGGAGGTGATTTATGCATATCTGGCCTTTGCGATGACTCGTGGTGACTTACCGATATATCGAACCAGTGCTGCTATCCTCCCAGACAAGTCTGACACCATTTTGCTCTCACCGGTGAGATGGAAAGCTTGGTGAGCCTTGGGTACGGGGATGGATCCCATGAGTATTGCAGGGCGTCTTCGACCACCTTGCCGTACGCTATCAAAATATTTAGGCACGATTCGCTATTGTAGCAAGAAAAAATGTTAATCATGTAGTTGGTAATCTGAGTGTTCTTGTTTCACCTAAAAATTTGCAACAAAGTGCTATTCTTATGCGGATGTACTGTGAAATATTTTTCAAGCACATTTGCTGCGTTCTTTACACGTGCTGCCGATCAAATTCGTATGGCTGCTGTATCGTTCGCTAATTTGAAGTGTGTCGGATCACATGTCGGTGCCTCTATTGGTGAAGATGGTCCGAGTCAGATGGCTCTTGAGGTTCGTGAATTCCTTATGCACTTCGAGGCAGTTAGATCGATTTCTCTTTAAGGATTTGGCAATGTTTCGTGCTATTCCTGGATCAACCGTATTTTATCCATCGGACGCTGTAGCAGCTGAAAGAGCTACCGAACTCGCAGCAAATACAAAGGGTATCGTGTTTATTCGTACAAGTAGGCCAGCACTACCAGTGCTCTATGGCAACGATGAGCTTTTCGCTATTGGAAAGGCAAAGGTATATGTTTTGCTTTCATTGCTTGCTATAACGTAATGCTGGAATCGTTTTTAGATATTAAAACAATCACCATCTGACAAAATAGTTCTAATTGGAGCAGGAGTTACTCTCTATGAATGTGCAAAAGCTGCAGAACAGTTAGAGAAGGAAGGTGAGATTATTAAGAGAGTTCTTTTGGGTTCTTTCCACCTCTTTCGGCGTTATTGTTTTCTTTCAGGAGTGCACTGCTGTGTTATCGATCCCTTTACGATTAAACCTTTGGATCAGATGACGATTGTTGATCACGCCAAGAGAGTTGGTGGTAGAATACTTACAGTTGAGGATCACTATCCTGCTGGAGGAATCGGAGAGGCGGTGTGTCTAGCTTTCTTTTCCATTCATGTGTTGATGGATTTTTATTCCATCACATTAAGCGGTATTAGTTATAAGTCAGATGACGAAACCGTTAGCAGGTAAATGTTGATTTGGGATCGTGCACACTTGCTTAAATGAAATATGGATTTACACCAATCCGTATTCGATTTAAAACTGAATTATTACCTTTAAAGCGATTGTGAATCATAATTGCTTAGAAATTATTGGGCTTGGTTTGTCGCTTGGTGTTACTATTTGTTGTCGAAATCGTTTATTATGAGACACTCCAGCTTTGTAAATGCGCTATCTTGAATTAGCTAGGAGTGTAAAAATGGTACTACTTAAGTCACCATGCAAATCAAGCTTCTTGAGTTTCACCTTAGAATGGGAAATTCGCTATTTTTTGTTCTTATATTGTTCCCACTTTTGTGCATCATTCCCTTAGAACATTATTAGAAGCGAAATATAACTTCTATAATGCTGAAATATTTTCAAAACTCCGAACCGCAGGTCTCTCCGGTGGTGAACGAACGCGCTATTGTCCTTTCCGGGGAGTAACGCGTTCACCACCACACGATGCAGGTCCTTCGTTTCGCCTGTCTCTCAATTTACTCTATCGATCACTTGCCATCAGCAACAGCCGTAGCAACATACCCTGCCATTAAAAAGAATAGGCAGTAAATAAAAGGTTAAGATTGTGATTATAACTGTGGCCTCAGGCTAAATGGGTTCAATGCCGATTTGGGCTCCCTAGATCAATCCCGTTGACGGGTGATTGCTGATGGCAAAAAGATCGATAGAACTAGCTGAGAGACAGACGAAACGAAGGATTCTCATAGTGTTGTAGTGAACGCGTTACTCCCCGGAAAGGACAATAGTGCGCTCGTTCCCCACCGCAGACACTTGTGGTCCGGAGTTTTGCAAATATATCAGCATTATAGAAGTTATATTTCGCAATTTTTAGAAACATTATGATGCCATACTTGATACTTGTTACCTGAATGGTCCGTCTTCACGAAGAGTTGCACGGGTCCTCACACAATTCCCTGTGGACTAACATGTTTCTAGTTTAACAAGGTTTTTCTCTGGAATCATGAAATCCATCGTAGGCGAATGAGTTCACAGGTAGTTGACATATATGGGGCGAAAAAGGTACATCCGGTGGTGCAAGTATGTTGTTTCCAGAACTCCAGAACTGCAGTGATTGTTACCGTTGTCTTATTCCTATCAGAGCTTCTGAGAAAGAAAAACGATGATGCCCAGCTCTTTCTCAGCTTGCTTAATATTATTTTGTGGATGAATTCGCTGATTTACGTCGTAGTTCGGCAATTAGAATGGACTTCAGCCGAGAAGAGGCGGTCTCAATTTTTTGAATGAGTGTATACTGCCATGTAAAGGGCACCTAATACCTCTGTAATTTTTTACATCTTTTCAGGTATCATCTGCGGTAGCTGACCATGCTGATATCCGCGTTCGATCGCTGTGCGTTCAACAAGTTCCTCGGTCCGGATCACCAGATGAACTGGTTGATTTGTTCGGCATTTCTGCCCGTCACATTGTTGACGCTGTGAAGAAATATTGAAAACATTGGTTTCACGTTGGTCATTTAGTCTTATTACCGTTGAAGCATTCCTTTTTGCACTTCTTACGAGAATTCGTATGTTGGCATATTATTATTATGATGGTGGATTGTTGCCTAATACTCTAAATGATGGTTTATAACTAACTTCCTGGCTGTTACTTAAAATTTCCAGTGAGTGGATTATAATTTTTAGCTTTTAGATTTGAGTAATGACGGCTTTGTTCACGGGATCTATTGGGAAGGTTTTCAGTAGACTTTTTGAAAACATAATACCCGGTTTATCTGTGTTCTGAAGTGTGGCTTTCGTAGTTTAATAAAACTATGTAGAGAAGAATTGTTGGGAACAGGACGTGATTTTGGTCATCATCAAGTCACCCGAGTTTAGATTACTGGAAGCGTACAAAAGAAATTTACATGGATACCTTCACTCTACTTTCACTTGTGAAGTATCCACTTAGAGGGGAATTTGGCTTATTGAAAAAGTGATAGGACTAACAGTTCGCCTTACGATTAACTATAGTTAATTGGCTTACCGGAAATGTCTGCTCAACCTTGGCTAGACCTATGGGTATAAATTCCAAACTGGTCATCGCAGCTGTTCACGTAGTAGTACTGTCGCGTTTGTCACGTGTTAATTTGTTGGAAGTTTGATAAGATTCCGGTTCTTGGTGATAAAGGACTGGGGATAAGAAAGTGGGTGAATGGGGAGCAGTAGTGTACGTCTACGACTTCTATGCACGAATAGCTTGCTACCGTTGACTGTTTAGTTTATAATGCAGGGAGATTTGTTAGTATTCACGTTAGTTGACACTGTGGTGATGGTAACAAGACGAAATGGACAATGAATTGTAGAATTCTTAGATTTATTCGGAGTACGCAGAGTGCAATATACATTAAATACTATGCATGTCGTATGTACACAAGTATTGGAAGTCGTGTAGCATAGTGGTTACAAGTGCTCTGAAGTACGCACAAGTCATGGTTCATTTCAGCGCTCTGTGCGAACAAGGCCGTTCATCCATCTGGGGTTGGCAAATTGGTAGCAGATTTGTCTGGGATGGTAGCACCACCAACTTGGTACATCAGTAAGATTCCGTATGAATGAGTTGTGGAATGCATAGTGAGTACATAAGAGATTAGTTAGCTTTGCGCGCTTTATGGTTTATTCTTTATAATGGTAGGCTACAAGATGTCTCTGAACACCACAGAAGGTGATTACATGAGTGTCGTTTTAATGGAAACAAGCCATTAAGGTAGCAAGTGACAAATGTTCGGCACACTGAACAACCATCCATAAAACATTGGTTCTTAGCGAGCAAACACGAGGTGTTGCTTTATTCCTTATTGACGTTAATGCTGACCTTTTGGTGGATTTTGCCTTCTTTAGAGCCTGGAAAGATCAAGTTGACTGCAATATACCCGGTCAGGCACCTCCATAAACGGAGAAGATACTAGACCAAGATTTCAATCGAATTGAAAACGAAATAGCTTCTTCGCATGCTCATTGCTTTCTAGTCTTCTGCTAAGTTTGTCATGTGGAGAGAAGCCATACATAGTTCACCTGGAAGCGTAGTGCATCTCTCGCATTAAAATATCAGCTTTAAATACTGTCTCAGGCCACGCGTGAATCAGGAATGCTTCGAGAGTTGTGCGCCCCGAAACTACCGATTCTTGTAAGAAGATGGTAACTTTTACTTCAAAATAACTCCCGTCATGCCAGTCTTATGCGTGCCTAGTGGAGTATTTGGTATAACTTTAGGTTTACCTACTAAGTCTCTTTATATACGGACGCAGAGTAGTCTACCCGTTTCGCCAATGTAGTATTTGTCCCAGTACGCTTTACGAGGGATTTGTTACAGTGTACTCGAAATTACGCAATCACCATCTCTACCGTTAGGTCATACTATGCAGTTTTGCGTTGAACATAGAAGGTCACACAGGCGGTTGCGAATAAGGTAGCGCCTTAGGGTATCCGGTGATATTTCGATCAGTGTTACGGAATTCTCCAGACAGGCGCTTCCTGGGCGAGGTTTTGTGGCTGCACTTATTTCATTTGAAATGAAGGGCGGGATAAACGGGACCTTATTATCGCAAGAGTTGTCTTTAGGGGAGTTGGGTTCTCCTGTGCACCTACCTCGAGGAGCTACAATTTCGTTGTCACTGGAAATAGCTATCTGCTGCGTCAATATCAAGGAATCTTCCTTCTGCTCTCTTCATGTGTATACACACGTGGCTGTTCGAAACATTTTTCTTAAAACTGCCCTTTTTTGTGTTAGGAGTGAGCGCAGAGGTAATGAACCTGTATGTTTTTACTACTTGGCTTTCGGTACCACCTGGTAGCGATTCCACAACAACCATCCTCGAACTCCTGATGCAATATAAAGGATCAATAAACATGTATGGCTTCACGATTCAGCTATTGATTCCCTTTTTAAAGGGCTGTCTGAGCTGCACAATCAGCAGATGGTCCAGAAAATACTACGTACAAATCGGAGAGTTGACAATGAGACAACGACTGCCACAAAGCTTCTTCACTACATTTATGTCCAAACACCAGTAACTGTTTCAACAAGTAAAGTAACAAGTAAAGTAACTGACATTCCGGCCCTTACCGTACTGTAGATACATAGACGATTGCTTTGTCATTTGCTCAACACAAGAGGAAATAGACAAATGCTTTAGTTATTGAATTAGTAGTCAGAGTACTTTAAGTTTGTTTAAGAAACCGAAGAAAAACTGGCTTCCATTTCTGAATGTCCAGATTAACCTATTTGAAAACGGTTAGATTACGAAATGGTACGGAAATCTAAGTAATAAAAAACACACCGGTTCATTACCTCTCCCCCCACCCCTCCACACAAAAAGTTCGCTTGTTGAAAACATGTTCCGAACAGCCACGTATGTGGGCACGGGAAGAGAGCAGAGATAAATCCTTGTAACTGGCGCGGCAAATAGCGATTTCCAATGGCTACGAAACTGTTGCTCCTAGGGAGAGGTGCAGAAGATAATCCAGACCCCGAACCGATAATTCTAGCGATCACAAGGTCTCGTTTATTCTTCCCTTCGTTTTCAACGGAATAAGTGAGTCTAAAAATGTCGCTCAAGAGGCGCAGGTCTAGAAAATTCGGTAAAACTGATTTAAACACCACCGGGCACTTTACGACGCCAGCTCTTTCGTAACCGCCTTATGACCGTCTACGTATGACGCAAAACAACATAGGACGCGCTAACAGTAGAGATGGTGATTGTGTGATTTCGGATACGCTGTACCAAATGCCTTGTAAAGCTTACGGAGACGAGTCCATTTGCGAAACAAGTAGACTACTCTGCGTCTGTATGAAAGCACACCTAGTCAGTAAACTTAAAGTTAAACTCACTACTTCACTAGGCGCGCATAGGACACAGAGACGTAGCAGAGAAGGTTTTGAAGTGGAAGTTATCATCCTCGTATAACGATCGGAAACACTAGCACTCAGAACTCTCGAAGCATTCAGGATAAATTCCAAGCATTTGAAAATGAACCGCAGGAGGACCACCTCACAGTCTCACAGAGTATTTACAGTTTGTATTTTAATATAAGAGACATATTGCGCTTGCATATGATCTCTTTGAGGTTGGCTTCCACATGTCACTCAGTGGAAGATTCATAGAAAATGGTGAGTGTGCGAAAAAGCGGCTATCATTTTCAACGCAATTGAAATCTTCGGTTACTACTTTCTCTGTTTGGCTATGGAGGTGTTTGGCTGGGTAGATTGCAGTCAACTAGACCTTTGCAGACTCTGATGAAGGCAAAATCCTCCGAAACGTCAGCATCGCCGTCAAAAATGAATAAGGTAACACCTTGTGTTTGCTCATCAGGAATATAATGAGTTATTTGATCAATGCCGAGTGTTATAGAAAGTCGGTCTTGAGAATTGATTCTTAGATCTCTTAGATCGTTGTTGACAACGAAGCTTTGTTGAATCCTTATTATCTGATTACACCGCCATCATTTTTGGATATCAAGTAGTTTAGAGTTGCATTTGAGTGGTACTACATTATGAAACTCGGAATTCCTTCCTAAATTGGTTACTGCTTTAATTCTTTTCGATTCTGATTTAGGCACGAGCATTTTCTTGTGTAATCTGTTACTGTTTACTGTAAGAGATCTACCTGTTTTATATAAGAGATCTCATTTTATTCGATAAAGGTGTTGTGGGGCGACTTCAGGTGATCGATGTGGAGATAACCATTGAACTATAAGCGATTATGGCCTTATCCTTAGCCACAAGTGGCTTCAAGAAGGGTTCTTGTCTGCGCCACTCAGGATTGAATTATATCTGCTAACACATATGATGATATTGATACATACTTATATAGATGTGCTTTCACCTATGCCAGTGATATCTTGCACGCTGATTCGGTTACGCTATCAGATGAGGGTAAACGATAGGGCACTGTTCGGGGTGGCGTCCTAGAAATAAGATACAGATTAACTGTGAGAGAGATCGGCAAGCCGTATGTCAATATATTTAACATGCGTTATAGAGCGACACGTTGGCATCATTCCGACAAAATAAAGATGAGAATGAAGAGGTTTATGTAAATAGTTTGAAACTGAGCAATATCTTGCTAAGCAGAGCCCACCACTGAAAGACGCTGACGCATTACAGAAACCAATAAGAAGCTTTACTGGTGCCAGCTCGAGTTACCCTATGACAAAGGAGTTCCAGATGGTGTAAGTAGTGCTTGTTAGCAGAATTATGAATGTTCCTATTACGTTCAGGCTCTTTGACTCTGCCAGAACTGTTCTTTGTTTTCTGTTCATATCCTGTTCATCTTCCCTTTCGCGAAAGATCGCTCTGCTAGATGACCTATTTCGACAAACATTTCCATTTTCAATGTTAACTTTCTATTTGCTGCCTACTACAATTTTTTATGGCAGGTTGTTATGCGAAACACAACCACAATGGTGCTGAGATATTCGGAAAACTCCGGAGCGCGATTATCTGCGGTGGGGA